TTTTTGAATTGCAAACAAATCAATTAATTAAAAATTGGATAAATTAAAAATAATAATATAATTTTTAAAATTACCAAAAATTTAATTCTAGCAAGATTTGATTTTACACCACTATTATTTATATGACCTACTAAACGTCCTGGTGTGGCAATCACTATATGTGGTTTTCTTGACAATTCAATTGCTTGATTCATCATGTCAAGTCCACCTACTATTACACTACTTTTAAGATTTATACTTTTACCTAATACTTTAAATTGATCTGCTATTTGAAATGTCAGTTCCCTAATAATAATAACAATAACAATAACAATGATAATGACCATGATAATCATTAAATAGTTTTTTATTAATATAAAAAAAGTTCATTAAAAAAATACCTTGTGGGTGTTAAAATCAATGCAAAAATACCATATGGGTCTTCTGATAATTTTTGCAAAATAGGAAGTGCAAAAGCTATAGTTTTACCTGAGCCTGTTTTTGCTCCACCTATACAATTTCTACCTGATAGTATAGGTGGTATACAATGTTTTTGTATTTCACTTGGATACTTTATTGACATAGCTTTTAAAGAATCAATTAACCATTGATTTACACCCAAATCTTGAAATGTTGTTCTTTGTGAATTGGAATTATCATTATTAATAAAATCATTATCTTCTTCGAAATTATCATCAGCCTCTTGGTCTGACATTTCGTAGAAAAAAATTTAATGTAGATCTCAATTTTTGATATGCACAAAAAATTTGTTTACAAGATATTTATTTAAAAAATGTCTCATCAAACTGGAATTCAAGGTTATTTTGAATAAATAGATAATATTTATGATCTTTTTTTAATTTTAGCATTTTGTGATAACTATTTAAATAGTTTCTGAAGAACTTGGAGAATTGTTTGCAAATGCAGTTGCTAAAGGAGATTTAAGAATAATACGTGTATCAATAATTAATGGTATTTAGTTCATTATTTATACGACAAAGTGAATATTACATATAAAATAATAAAATAATGAATTTTTTTACCTTGCTTTAATTTATACAAGAGTCGCTCGTTCCCAATGGTACAAGAGAAATTAAAAGTGATTGGAAATCGGGTATAGTGATATATATGTGTGTCAATAAATCATTTCGAGATTTATCCGATTCTCCTTCATTTTAATTAACATAATAGAAAATTTAAAAATGGCTTGCAAATAATAATAGATTTTTCTGAGATTGCTGAATTTTTAGAAGAAGAGGTTCCATGTTTTATACTATGTTAGTTAATAAACCATGATGATGATAACAATTGATGATAACAATAATTTATTTCTAAATTTTGATATATTTTGACCTTTATAAAAAAAAATTTAAAGATCGTCTTGACAGTAAATCTTCATCTGGAGATTATGAATGGTTATTTGCTGCTTATGTCCCTGATCATTCCAAGGTTTGTTGTTTAATTATCTTCTAGAATTTATTCATTGATTGGATTGGATTGGATTGGATTGGATTGGATTGGATTGGATTGGATTGGATTGAATTGAATTGAATTGATTCATTAATTAATGTTCATAGGTAAGAAATAAAATGTTGTATGCAGCTACACGTGCTACACTGACAAAAGAATTGGGTAACAATCGCTTTGTTGATTCAATGTATGGAACTTCAATGGTGAGATATTTTTCATAGTTTTATATTTTCATATAGCAATTAATTTGTAAAAAAAAAACTTACATCCAATACATATATAATTATTGTTAAAAAGTCTGAATTTACATTGGAGGGCTATGAACAACACAAAAAACATCAAAATGCTGATGCACCATTGACACAACGTGAAAAAGAATTAGCAGAGATTAAAAGTATTGAGGCAATTATTATTTAATAATAATATATATTATATATTATATTGTATTATGTATTAATTATTAAATTATTAACTGTAATTTCACTTTAATATTTATTTATTTAGGCTGGCGTTAATAATTATAGCACATCGACACGTAAATCTCATGCATCCGGAGTTGCGTTCCCTTTAACTGATGAAGCAATAGAAGCAATTAAATCTTTAAAAAGTGACAGCAATAAGAATAATTTTGTTTTGCTAGTATGTTATTTGTTATATATTATTTATTAGTCTTATTCCTTTAGCACCTAATGTATTTAACATCAATTTATGTGTGTCTAGTCAATTGATACAGAGAAAGAAAATGGTAGTTATGATGATAATAAGATTAATAATAAAAAAGTAAAGAAAGTTAATAAATCTAAAGAAGTTAATAAATGAATAATATTCATCATTGAATTTATATTTTAGACAAGCATGTATATAGTTATTATAAGTATTATATAAAGATTAAAAATAATTTTACAAATAAAATATACATAATCTCTCGAGTTTATTCTCCCCTCCCTTCAATCTAACTAAAGACCCACCAACACATGTTTAGTAAAAAATTCCTCAAACAATATTAACCTCTGTTGCTACTTTTGAAGTTCCATTATCATCTTTTCGACACTCGTTAAGGTAAAGCCAAAAACTTGACAATTAATCAGCTTTAGGACGCGTCACTAAAAAAATTGTCAAAAATTAAATCAATAATATCCTAAACTAAAACAAATTTCCTTGACTCACATTTTTGATCCAAAGATTTATAAAAATAAAATATAACACATTTAAAAATCTGGTTTTATAACCAGAGTTTGGAAAACCCTGAAGATTGAAAAAAAGATATTCATTTTAAGGGATTTTGAACCTTCAAAGGAAAATATCTCAAACATTTTACGATGCAAAGTGGGTATGGTTTCTAAGCCAAAATGTCGAGTCTTCATCACATTACAATTAGATTGACGTTATCTAGAACCACAGAGCTCTTTTTTCTTTCAAGCTAGTTGTGGAAGCCTTGCAAACTTTTACGTTGTGTAACTCGGAACTTCGAATTGCAAATGTCCAGTCCCGATTAGAGAGGGTGTTATCTGGGGCTTTAAAGTCTTCTTTGTTGTAGATGATTCGCCTAACTACATTTATTCATTTCGAGATAGCTTATTTATTTTGAAAATGATTTGTGTCTTTTGGAATCAACATAATTTTCCGACAAACAAAGGCCATTTCTATGAGAGCAACTACCCTTGTGTGTTCAATAGTTATCTGGATGCCTGGATTTTGATTTTTTTACACTAGTACTAATAAGAGTTGCCTGCATTTACACAGTAGCAATTTTTCCAGGGTATTAGCAACTACAATAGTTAATTTAGCTCGTGGCATTATTTTTTAATTAAAAATATAGAAATGGCGAATTTTTTAGAACGATGATTAATATCTAAAATTGGATTGCCAATTTCCAAGTTTATGTATGAAAGTTAGTAAAAAACAGTTGAGGAATATTTCACATTCCTTTTGATTTTTTTATTTTATATATTGAATCATAATAATAAATACCGGCATGTTGATTAATCACGTGATTGGCGTGGACATAAAAATTGGCAGAATTTTTATTATTATTGCAAGTTTATCAGCACTGAAAATGAGTAATTTTATCCCGATTTACCGATTTATCTATTATCGGTCTGTAATAGATTACTTTTTTTTTCGATTAATAATAAAATATTAATATGTCAAAAACACGAACACAAAAATAGATTATTTTATTCACGTTCTTTTCCTTCTTCAACCCACATGAACAACAAATTAATTAAACATAATCACAACAAAATTACATTAAACAATAATAACACCTATACGCGTTCTTTCCTTCTTACAACATGAATAACAAGTTAACAAAAGCTAATCGCAACAAAATCACATCAACCAACAATAACAATAACAACAATAATTATTGTTATTACGATAATGATAATGATAATAATAATAATAATAGCAACAATAAAAACAATGGAAGCAAAAAAATTTTTGAACCAATTTTTATAAGCGCTAAAACCTTACATGACTTGTCAAATGTCGGTGATAACAATGTTAAAAACATTAATAATAACAATGATAGTGATAACAACAACAACAAAGCATGGTGGAAATTCTATTTATGTCACAATTTGATGATCACTGTGATAAATTTAATTTATGTTGTACGATGTAAATTCAAAATACGTGTTGTTATGGGTAACACCATCATTAAATAACTATTTTTTAAAAAAATTATGCAGTTATTATCTTTCCTTACGCACTTTCATTTAAAGATTTGGGATGCGAATCAATCTAAAGGTTACATATGAAGCAAAAAATTGTATAATTTTTAGTCAAATAAACGGAATCCAATATTAATATATAAGGTATATAGATAAAATTTATTATAAAATATATGAATGATATGATATATATAAGAACAAGCAACATACTAAGAATGTTTCCCATTCATTTACTAATTCATTCCTTCCTTTTCAATCTATTTTCTTTTGTTCCAACTTTAAGATCAAAATTACAACCTTCGTAGAGAATAAATTATTATTATTAAAGTTAGTTTATTTCATTATTTTATTATTATTAATATACATATATATATCTTTTTTTTTAATTATAAGAAAAGCATATTAATATACACATATATCTTTTTTTTTAAATTATAAGAAAATCATATTAATATATATATATATATATCTCTTTTTTTAAAGAAAATAAAAGTTGTATATACCTTACTCTTTCATTAAAGAAATGTATAAAAGTGTAGGAAAAGATAC